ACGCATCTTTGTGTAATGTTTGGTGTCTCTACCTAGTTTGGTGTCTCTACCTATAGTCTCTGAGATCCAGGTGTTCATACGGACAGACAGACAGGGCTAGATTTTGAGGCAGATGCAGTATCTCCAAATAGAAAATTTTTGCCACGTTGGCTTGAAATGTACACACCGTGGTTGGCATATTCTAAAAAAGTTAAAGGTGCTCCATGCTTGTACTGCGTACTTATCTATATATATAAAACAGTTTGTCCTGACTGACTGACTGATTGGTGATCAACGCACAGCCCAAACGGTAAAGGCTAGGAAGCTGAAATTTGGACTCAAGTATCCTTTCACAGTCTAGGTCCCCACTAAGAAGGGCTTTTGGAAAACTCGAGCTCCAAAGGGGGGAAAACAGGCTCCAACGTTTGTATGAAAAATCTACAGTTTTCATCTGATTAACTTTAAACTTAGTTTGTATACTCTCAGAACAATTCCAAGAAAAACTGTATACTTGGTTTTTTGATATTTTTTTTTTGGGGCACAAAAGCAAACCGCGTCAACAGCCCACAGCCCAAACGGTAAAAGCTAGGATGCTGAAATTTGGGCTCAAGTATCCTATCATGGTGTAGATGCGCACTAAGAAGGGATTTTGGAAAATTCGAGCTCCAAAGGGGGGAAAAGTAGCTCCAAAGTTTGTTTGAAAAATCCGCATTTTTCAACCGATCGACTTAAAACTTAGTTTCTAAAATCAATTAAAGAATACAAACAAAACTGCATAGTCGGATTTTCGGTTGGAGCTTGAATTATTGGGGTTTTAATATTTATTCACTATTTCAAATGAAAAGTTTGTGTTATAAATTTAGTCCGATCGATTTAAAATTTGGGTAATGTAATCTACGTAACTAAATCTACAACATTGCATTCAAGGATTTTCAAAATATGCATTTTACAAAAGCAGGCAGAACAAACAATACAAAATATCAAACAGTTGGGGACAACTAAGTATACATACACACACATACAAACAGCTGTTCGTGTAGTTGCGTGCAAACGATTGAAATAGCCAAAGCAAAATGTGAGACACTAATGTGTGAATGTCCATAGATACATATGTATGTGCACATCTATGTATGTACATATGTATCTACATATGTATGTATGTACATTCGTCTTGCACTGACAGAGCAAGAAATGTTAATTAATTGAAAATTATATAACATTTTTAAAAGTAATTTTTTCTTTGTTTAGTGCATTTGGCATTAGTGTTTTCATTAATAACTTTATGCAGCAACAACAAATATCAAATAGTTGGGGACATCACATACACACTCACACACACAACAAGCAACAGTTCGTGTCTATGTGTGCGGTTCTCTACGTACGGTTGAAAAAGTAAAGAGAAACATACATATGTATGTATGTATGTATGCCTGTGTATGAATATAGCATGTATGTACATTCGTATTAATGTATACATTGGGCAATCGAACACAGTTGTTTGATTGTAAAAAAAAATAATGCTCTAAAAACAACAACAACTGCAAGTCATTAGCTCGCTCTTCTTCTTTCGTTTTGACCATTTAATGTTAATTACAAAGGCAAAACGCCAAAATGTTACAGTTACCGTCGCTAGGCAACGACTGCGTAAGCGATAGTAAAGCAGAAACCGAATAACGGAGCTACGCATATTCTGCTTCGCATTGCGGGCAGATGTATTAATGTATGTATATGATTTGTTCTTATTGATCTCAATAAATAATTCGATTTCATTATTTAAATATTCTGCTTATTGCATTCAAACTTCGATATTTTGATGGTATCGGTGCCAGTGCTTTTTGATCGTGGCTCATCGCTGCACGGCATTGACACGAGTGCCGTGTTTCATATTCCGAGTTTGTGCGTGGCCGTATTGACTCAATATGACACGAAAAGACTCAATTGTGAATTTAAATTTGGACTCAAGTATCGTTTCATAGTATCCATCATAGTGTAGGAGCACACTAAGAAAGGCTTTTGGAAAATTCTAGCTCCAAAGGGGGGTAAACGAGCTTTAAAAAATATTAGTTATAGTGGTCATGTTCGTTTAACGAAATAGTTTGTCAAGAACAAAAATGTAACGGACTACTGAACAATTTTTTGTCAAGAACAGAAAATGTTCATTTAAATACCTTAAATGCCTTCCTACTGGTAACTTATAAGGTGAAAACATATGGGTAGGTTATGCACACACAAAATAAATACAATTGGAAACATATTGAGCCGGGTTAAGACGGGCAATACCTGCTAGTAAATTATAAAGGGGTTCTGGGATCTTTCGTAAGAAAACCATTCACCCGGTATAATCATATGCATGAAATGTGCAAAAGTCATCCATTGACCCAATGCTATATTGGAGCGGCAATGGAGGCAAATGCATTCCTAAATGATACACCAGTGGACATAATATTACCAAATGATAATATTACACATAAGCAAAATTTGGTGTCTCTGTCTCTTATAGTCTCTGAGATCCAGGTGCTCATACGGACGGACAGACGACTCGTCTCGTCATACTGATCAAGAATATATATACTTTGTGGGGTCTGCCACGCCTCCTTCTGCCTGTTACATTTTTCAGCTCCCGCAAACCTAATATACTTCTGTACATTTCATGTACAGAGTATAAAAATAGAAAATATTTTACATATTGCAGATAAAATTGCAAGCCAAATTGGTGCAGATGTAACTATACCAAAAATACTTGCACGACAGAACCAAAGACAAAATCATCCTTCGTCAACACCCTCAGAATATTGGAAAAGGTGAATTTATATGCCGTATGTTGACTCGCTTTGCACAGCTTTAAAAAATAGATTCTGTGAAGAAAAAAATCCTGCGTTCTCTTTACTTTTGCTCCATCCTGAAAATATGCTTAAGCCTAATGTTGAACAGTTTAAATCAGCGGTGGGCACGAAATTTTAGTTTGGGAGTCCTACAACAAAAACTACCGTTTGGGTTATGAGAATATTTCCTCTTCACTTAAAGCAATTCGTAATAAATCTGATAAATTCATGTCACTTAATTTATTCTTATAAACATTTTTAATATATTTAATGTTTGAAAATGCAGCTTCGCACACATAAGTGCTGGCAAAAAAATACCGCGTCTCAATCTCGGAAATATTAATTTCATTAGCCATTGTTCAGTTTTAAATCAAATATAAGTAAGATTATAAGTAAATAACTTGACGAAAATCATAAAAGTTTTACTGAAACACTATAATTTATAATTTGTCAATACACTTTGAATGTCAGTGCATAAGTGACCGTCAGCGGGTATTGCAAATCGATCATCAGTACACACACTGTGTGTATTTTGTTATTGCATCGATCTACTTGTGCGTCTGGCTGGCGACAACACTGCGTGTATTTTGTTATTGTAAGTTTGCTCGAGATCGGTGCTTTGCTTTGGTATTAAAACCGCTTTGAGTATTGCTATGTCCCTGCCTTGTACGACAGCAACAATTGAAAGATCTTTCAGTACTTTAAGAAGAGTAAAGACATGGCTACACTCAACCATGGGAGAGTCTCGATTGAACGGTATGTAATACATTTTGTATTATTTCTTTATCACATTTTAAACATTTTTTTTAACCACCAGGCCTATGTCTGTTAGGCGTACACCGGAAATGGGTAGTCCAAAATCAGGATACATTTATTCAAAACGTGTTAAACCGGTTTGCGACTGATAAAAGGCGAATACTATTTTAAATTTGTAGTTAAATATAATAAGTAAATATTATAGTAAAATGTAGAACTTGAAGTTCTCCAATTTGTATCTGAGTTTACCGTTTCTATTATCTTTAAGAAAAAATACTCATTATTTTATTATATTATTTTGAATTTAGTTGTTCCCTATTTTTAATGTCTTTTGCTCTACTGAAAATAATTTGACATTATATTCGGTCAAAAAAAAATTAGAATTTAAGCGACTCAACCGCTAGAATCAACCTGACGCACTTTAATAACAAAGACTGAATATTGTTTTGAATGTTTATATTTGATTTAAAATATTAAAACAATAAATTGAATATAAAAATTCATTTGTACAAGTATAATGCAATTTTGTTTTTTGTGAGAATACTACAATTCTATAGCCCCCTTAGCTATATCTTTTTGTAGAGCTGTAAATTATCTTTTAGTTTATTTGTCGATACCGTGTTAAATACTTTCCTTAATAAGTTTTTCACAATCGAGGATACTATCGGTTCAGCCGATTCCCCAAGTCCAGGTATTCATAAATTGAATATAAAAATTCATTTGTATTATGCAATTTTGTTTTTCGTGAGAATACTACAATTCTATAGCCCCCTTAGCTATAACTTTTTGTAGAGCTGTAAATTATCTTTTAGTTTATTTGTCGATAACATGTTAAATACTTTCCTTAATAAGTTTCCACATACCAATCGCGGATACTATCGGTTCGGCCGTTTCCCCAAGTTCAGGTATTCATTAATATAGAGGGGCGGACACTTCAATATGTGTATTTTGATTCGTTTCATCACAATGATTAAGAATATACATATAGTATATAATCTACGTATACAAATTTATGCTATATAAAAAATTGCCTTTAACACCTTCTGATAGCACAATTTTTAAAAATCGAGTAATATTTATTTATCTACTGCAAAACAAATAGTCCGATAATCATTGTATTGTAGTGGGAATTACTTGTTGTATTACAGTTTAAAAATGTTTTCCGATCACACCGACGGATTTGACTCGACTTTCAAACTAACTAAATGTCACAACAATCCTATTGAAAGAAATAATAAAATAATTACCTACTGGAAGAAATCAAGCTAGAAGAAAAATTTAATAACTTTTTTGTGTTGGTTGCCATTTTCAATCATACAGTGAGTTCAATTTAAAAGCAGTATGGGGTACAAATTCGGTAACCGATTTAAAGGTACTTTAAATAATACATTTCACAAAAATGAACCACTTCCGAAAGTAATAAACAATTTTTGAGTTTCTTACCGAAATGGTGATGGCGGATTTCCGTTTAATTCCAGTTTGCGATATGATTCCTCTATTGGACTTAAAATATCTGTCACACTAAATGGCGTTGAGTGATTGTTATTAAACAGAGAGTTCTGGTGTTGGCTATGCAAGCTTTGGAGATGATGGATATTAGACAAATTATGATGATGATGTGCAACCGCAACAGCGGTTGCAGCGTGAACCGTGTTTTGTGTAGACGTCTCGTTTGAGTTTAGTTTTATTAATGGTTCCAATTGATGATTCTGAGAAATTGAAGTTATATCTTTTGAAGGTAAGCTCATAACCAAATTTTCTCCATTTAATTCAGTAATTAAACTGGTTTCTCCTTGACTGTGGCGCTCACCAAAACTTCTTCGATCGTTGGCTGAAATATTTATTAAAGTTGTGCCTGACATACGAACCGATTTATGTTATGGCTTGCCCAGTTCAGAGTTAATTCCTACAACGAAAAAGCATAGAAGAGCATTGAAACAAAATGACCTAAAATTAAAATATAAACAAGTAAAAAAGCTAAGCATGTTTGCAGTCAACCAAAGCACCAGTATCAACAACAGCTGCGGGCAGCGGTTGGGCAGCGCTTGAGCAGCAAATATATTTATGGCTTTAACTTCTTGTTAAATCGGTCTATTATAGTGAAACTTGGCATACGGACACATAATAACTAACTGGAGGTATTTGCAATTTGAGTTCGATATTCCAAGAATTGTGGGGAAGAGGGGGGAGGGAAATACACATTTTCTACGTATTCACATAAGGGATCTTGGACTAAAATTTGGTGTCCCTAGGTCTTATAGTCTCAGAGATATAGGCGATTATACGAATGGAGAATCGGGAAAACCCCCATAGGGGGAAGTGGGGTACTTTGTGGAGTCTGCCACGCCTCCTTCTGCCTGTTACATTTTTCAGCTCCCGCAAACTTAATATACTCTTGTACATTTCATGTACAGAGTATAAAAATGTAGGGGCGCAAAATGGCCCAAATGGTAAGAGCTAAAAAGCTGAAATTTGGGCTGAAGGAGGAAAATGAGTTTGTTTGTTTCAGTTTTTCACCGATGAACTTCAAATTTGATTTTTATAATCTATAAAAGAATACAAAGAATACAAGCTGCAAACTCGATTTTTATACCCTGTACCCGTAGGGTAAAAAGGGTATATTAGGTTTGTGCAAAGTATGTAACATACAGAAGGAAGCATCTCCGACCCCATAAAGTATATATATTCTTGATCAGCATGACGAGAAAAATCGATCTAGACATGTCCGTCCGTCTGTCTGTCCGTCTGTCCGTCTGGATGAACGCGAGGATCTCAGAAACTATAAAAGCTAGAATAACCAAAGTTGGCATCCAGATTCTCCTGGGTCCGAGTAAGGACGAGTTTATTTTATTTTTTTTAATTTCCCCCCCCCCTTCCCCCGCTACAGAATTTCGTCAATAGCGTCCACATTTCAAATGCTACCTAAACCAAACTTTGCACACATAATTTATATATAATTGTCTACTGTTGTTCAAAATTTTATTCAATTCGGTCGATTCTCGCCAGTACAACCTCCCCAAACTGCAGCAACAAGTTCGCTCTTCTTCTTCCTCTTTTTGCTGCTGCTATGGGCGCATATAACTCAGTGACGGAAGTTTACCTGGGTACAGGGTATTACACTGTCGGGCTTGCTCGACTGTAGCGTTCTCTCTTGTTTTAAATTTGTCTTGGGCTTTTAAAATATTTTCAATATTTTTCAAATAGAAAGTTAGAGTTATTAATGTTGTCCGATCGATTTCAAATTTGGTATCCGTAATCAACATAACTATATCTACAAATTGGCATTCAACGTTTTTCAAAATATAACAAGAGAGAACGCTACAGTCGAGTAAGCCCGACAGTAAAATAGCCTGTACTCTCCACAAAAAAGGAAAATTAAAAAAATATAATTAAAAAAAATTAAATTATTTTAAAAAATTGAATAAATAAATTAAGTTTAAGTAAAAAAAAAATTATTTAATACATACATAGAAGACATGTCTATGTTCAAACATCATCGCACATCACGTGCCTATGCGTGTTTATATGCGTGTATCTATGCAGCACAAAGTTGAACCAAAGCAGCAACAACAACAACATCTGCAGGCAGAGCTGCAAGCAGAGCATGGGCAGCGATTTTATTTATGGCTATAACTTTCTTCAGAATTGACCTATTATGATAAAACATACGGACACACAATCACTAACTAGATGTGACTATTAAACTTGAGTTCGAAATGGCAAGAATTACAGGAGATATGGAAAATCACTAATAGCGGGGGAGTGGAGGGTGCATCGGAAAAATTAACAAACTCGATCTGCCTAGTGCTTAGGGGAACCTTTGGTTATTCTTACTGAGATCCTTGCGTTAATACGGACGGACAGACAGATAGACGGAAAGGGCTATATCGACTCGTCTTGTCATACTGATTAATAATTATTAATGATATATATATACTTTGTTGGGTCTGCCACACCTCTTTCTGTATGTTATATACATTCGCACAAAACTAATACTTGTATAACCTTTTACCCTTTGGGCTATAAAAATATAATTAAGGATTCATGTTTGATATTGCCCTTATCATATCCAGTAGCTAAACTAATGCTAAACTAAACTAATAAATATAAGTGTGATTTAGAAAAATAATAATACACAAACACACATTAGTTGAAAAACAAGTGACATCTGTGTCTTATATGGGCGGTAGGAATGGGCGTGGTCGGATCAGTCCAAAACTTAACACAGTTCTTATAAATGTAATTACAAGTATCAGTACCATTTTAATTTCAAGTCTCTAACTTCATGTTTCGAATTTAATTAATTTAATTAAATTTAATTAAAGTCTGTCTGACCCCATGTGCTGCACATTACATTACTAGATATAAATATTTTGTAATACCCTGTACCCAAAGGGTATATTAGTTTTGTGCGAGTGTACATGGAACACACAGAAGGAGGAGCCATGTCCGTCTGTATGAACGCAAGGATCTCAGAAAGTATAAGAGCTAGAATAACCAAACTTGGTATACATATTCTCCTGACGAGTTTGTTAATTTTTCCCAGTGCACCCCCACTCCCCCCCCCCCCCCCCCTATTACCGATTTTCTATAACTCCCGTAATTCTTGGAATTTTGAACTAAAATTTGGTAGTCACATGTGTGATTAGTGATTATATATCAGTATACCAAGTTTTATAATGATAGTATGATTAGAAAGAAAGTTATAGCCATATAACCAGGCCCAATGCACACATACATACATATGTACAAGTACACAAACATGCATAGACACGATTGTGATGTAAATGTATGCATGGAATATTTTGTATTTAATTTTGTTAATTAATTAAATTAATTTAATTAAATTTACTAATTAAATTTAATTTATTTATTTTTTTGAGGGGTGGCACAGGGTATTTAAGAGTTGAGCCTGCTTGACTTTAGCATTCCTTTCTTGTTTTTCTTACAACAATAACATTAATTTAGTTCAATGCTTTGTTTAACTGATGAGAAAAGTGAATTAATTAGAAGTGAAAGGGTCACTAAGTATAAAGCAAATATTTCTGTAGAATACCTTAGAAAATAATAGAACATACCTATACAATCAATTTATTACAAATTAACAAAGAGAAGAAGAATTATACCTTCAAAAATAAGCTCAGATCGGGAAAACCACGCAAAACAAAGCTTAGAGAAGGCCGCATAATATTGAGAAAACTTAAGGAAAACGTGATGAATACAGCAAAAGCAATGTCGAGTGAGCTCAAGAAGCACCATAAAATATCAATAAGTAGAAAAACTATCCAAATACGGCTAAGGGATTTTTTGCATATATGTATAGCTCGTCCAATTCCTTTAATTCCAACAAAAAATAATCTAAAAAGGTTAATATTCGCCAAATTCCAATAAACAAGTCGCAATCGTTTCGGGAACAAGTATTATGGACAATGAAAGCTCTTTTGAATATCATGGATCGAAGGAAAAGATTTATTGCACGTTGCCAAAGAATATTTGCCAAGAAATTAGGCCCAGGGGCGAATGGGCATTACATGGTGGAGGATTGGTTATGTTCTTGGGGTGCATGTGCTTCAATGGCTTGGGCGATTTGATACCAAATGATGTAACAATGAATAAGGACAAATATTTCCGTCAATGATAAGAAAGGAGGGTTTAATTTTTAATAATATTTTTGTTATTTTTTACCAATATTAACTTTTTCCCTCATTTAGTTAACCAACATTGAAATGTCAAAATACTTTTGTCCACCAACAGTTATGCAAGATGGACTTTAGTTTCGAAACTGTAATATGAAAAAAAAATTTTTGAATTTAAGAAGTTTAATATATTCTTTATAAATTAAAAAGTCATTAAAATTTGTGAACTCAATAAATCATAAAAAATCTCCATAACAATCTTATTTTTCTAATGTCAAAATACTTTTGTCCATCACTTTTGTCCACCACTTTTGTACAACAGCTGCGGGCACTACTTGGTCATACATACATATATGGCTATAACTTCCTGTTAAATCGGCCTATCATGATGACATTTAGCATACAGTCTCATAATCACTAGTGGGTGAAAAATAAAAAAATAAAACAAACTTGCACAGCGTACAGATATAAGGCATATTTGTGCAAAATTTTGTGTCTCTAGCTCTTATAGTCTCTGAGATCCAGGTGTTCATACGGACAGGCAGGCAGACAGACAGTCAGGGCTCGATCGACTCGTATAGTCATGCTGATCAAGAATATCCATTCATAAATTCGCCTATATCTCGGAGACTATAAGATCTAGGAACACAAAATTTTAGTCCAATATGCCTTATGTGAATACGCAGAAAATGTGTATTTTGGAATTTGCCTACCTCCTCCCTCTCCCATGCAACTCGTAACTTCTGTAATTCTTGGAATTTCGAACTCAAATTGCAAATATCCCCAGTTCGTTAATATACGTCCCTATGCCAAGTTTCACTATGATAGACCGATTTAACAAGAAGTTATAGCCATAAATATATTTTCTGCCCAAGCGCTGCTCGCAGCTGATGTTGATGTTGCTGTTTGGTTGACTGCAAACATGTTTATACAGACACGAATAGATGCGCATATGCATTCATACACTCACAAAGGAGCAATTGTTTTGTATATGTGCAATTATACACCCTTTACGTGAGTTCGAATACCGAGAGAGGTAAAATAGATCCAAATTTTTTTTTTTTAATTTTCTTAATTTTTTTTATTTTCTATAATTATTGTAAACATATGTACAGAATATTTCAAAGTCGGGACACCCGAATTTAGCTTTTTTACTTGTTTTATTTTAATCCTTCGCGAATCGCGATCGTTTTATGCAATATGTTTGACTGAATTCTCATTTGTTCATTTAATTTAGGCTGCGCACACTACAGCTTTTCTCTTTAAAATGTTCTCATAAATATCATCGCCATAAAAATATGTATTTATTATTCGGTCTTTTCACTTATTTATCACATTTAATGTATCCAAGATGATTCGAATTCCATGAAATCTTACTGACTTCTAATGGATATACAACCATAAATGGATATAGCAATAAATGTAATCTCTGCCCTTGCTCTGCCTGCAGTTGCTGTTTGGATTAGCTCTGCATTGCACAAAAAAGCATAAATTAAAACCCTACGCAAATGAAAACAACGAAAAAAGATTATTATAGGTTTGTATTTTTTTACATTTTATTTTATTTTTTAATTTAAAATTAAGAATTTAGCAATATCTTCCGTACTATCTTACTACCATAACAACCTAACAAAACAAGATAATCTCTATGATGTTTTCTATTTTTATAAAACTGAAAAATAAACAGATTAATAATTTATTATCTATACCGCAATTCAAACTAACTGCTGTAAAACTTTTCCGTTTATCGCTACAATTCATTATTACCACAATAGTCGACAAATACACAAGTGTGTTAATAACAAGAGAGAACGCTACAGTCGAGCAAGCCCGACAGTGTAATACCCTGTACCCAGGTAAACTTTCGTCACTGAGTTATATGCGCCCATAGCAGCAGCAAAAAGAGGAAGAAGAAGAGCGAACTTGTTGCTGCAGTTTGGGGAGGTTGTACTGGCGAGAATTTGTTTCGCTAATAACTTTTCTTAGAATTGACCGAATTGAATAAAATTGTACCCGTAGGGTAAACAGTAGACAATTATATATAAATTATGTGTGCAAAGTTTGGTTTAGGTAGCATTTGAAATGTGGACGCTATTGACGAAATTCTGTAGCGTGGGAAGGGGGGGAAAATTCAAAAAAATAAAATAAACTCGTCCTTTCTCGGACCTAGGAGAATCTGGATGCCAACTTTGGTTATTCTAGCTTTTATAGTTTCTGAGATCCTCGCGTTCATCCAGACGGACGGACGGACGGACAGACGGACGGACATGCCTAGATCGATTTCTCTCGTCATGCTGATTCAGAATATATATACTTTATGGGGTCGGAGATGCTTCCTTCTGCATGTTACATACTTTGCACAAACCTAATATACCCTTTTTACCCTACGGGTACAGGGTATAAAAATGTATTGCATTGTATTATTTAGTTGTTTCAATTTTCTTTCATTAAATATACTCGTAACTATTGTAGTTGTGATATATCTGACTGTGAATTAGAACAATGTTGAACAAGCATTAGAAATAAATGCCTTATATGGAAGAACGTGCCATTCGAATTTGTGCCTGAAATGTACACTAGAAAGTCTAAGCTCCAAATTTATGCAACAGGACGAAGGAGGTCACCAAACTTCGTACGCCGACCATATCTATTAGAAATTATATACATATGTCCTTATTATGTATTTGATAAAGATGGTCTAGGGGCCATCGGTATAAAAATCACTCTATGTCAAGTGCTACAAAGCATTTGGTCCAGTTTTAATTTCTCTTTGATGGTTTGTTTTGCAGAATTACCAGAATACTAATTTATGTTTGAGCCACCCAGATATTCAAAATATATTAAAGGAATTTTCAATATACCGCTATGCCGCGTAAGAGTGAAAGAACATTTCATTTTGCACCCTCAAAGGAAATCTTCAGCAAACAGATACGCGATTTTTACTGGCAATTCATGAATGTAGTTAAGTAACTTTACCTACTCCAAAGGTATCAACTTATTATTAACCAGCCGCAAAAACAAGCACGAGTTATATATGTTTAATGAATTATTCAACAATATCACTGTTTGATAAAAACATATTTCATTTCTTAAAACATGATTCCCTTTCTCATTTTTCTTCCAATATTATATTGTGATAATATTTGTATGTATTACGATAACACTTTAAAAAAATCTAAATTAGGATATTAGCCATAAAATTGAATCTAAATGGAAGCATGTATTTACATACATATGTAATATTTACTAAGTCATGAAGATATTAATCGATAAACACATACATGATACAAGGAATATTCGGGACTCCAAATGTTGCACCGTTGCTTAAAAAGCGACGTTATTGATTAAGCTCGTGTTATGTACTTGTATACGAGTATTTGTTAAACAAGAAACATTTCATAGAATATTAAATATTAAGCTAAACAGCCCGTGTTTATAATGCACCTGAATTTTATTTCTTGAAAACAATATATGTATGTAAATTTAAGCACATATAAACCCACGTCAGTGAATTTATTATGAATATCCACTCGACACGATTCCGTCAAATGAAATAAGAGGTCTGAACAGTACTGACGAGTACTCCTCAGATAGCTTCTGGATAGCCCTCGAATAAGTTTTTCCTATTAACGATGACTCTGTACTGTGTTTGGTACCGGCATACATACTTTGCTGAACAAAACAAACATGAAAATATTGCTTTTTCGTTTTACTTAAATCGACCAATAACAGCATAGAGAACGGTGCGGCTTGTAATATGTGGCAGCAGTTGTTGAAGCGCGGTTTTGGTTCACGCAATAGTAAATGCCCACAAAAATAGACTGTCGTCTCACTCATACTAGTTGTACGAGTCATTTTCATATTTGTTTAAAAGAGATGGGGCGAGGATGAAAGTATGTAAGACACCAACCCTCCCAAAGGAGACTGGCCAATAGCGCGTAGTATCGACATCAACCCCTCATGCGTCTTTAACTTTAGCTTAGGAATGTGGAATGCATACTTAAATTGTTGAATTTGCTCTCGCTGTCGCTCACAACAATAGGAATGCTTGCTAAGCCTGTATTTTCACACAACGCAACAATGCGTATGCTCCTTAAGTACCAACTCCAAATCACTTTAAATGTTTTGACGTGGTCTGGGTGGATTTAAATTGCACCATGTATGTAATAATTTGCAAGGTTTTAGATTAATTTATCAAAAATATCATGTGATATACAATTTTATAAAAATATTCTATGGTATATTTAAAATTTATTAATTTAACAAAACTTATATATGGAACTAATCTTTTTATACCCTGTACCCAAAGGGTACAAGGGTATATTAGTTTTGTGCGAGTGCACATGGAACACACAGAAGGAGGCTTGGTAGACCCCACAAAGTATATATATTCTTGATCAGCATGACAAGCCGAATCGATATAGCCATGTCCGTCTGTCTGTCCGTCTGTATGAACGCAAGGATCTCCGAAAGTATAAGAGCTAGAATAACCAAACTTGGTATACAGATTCTCCTGAGCCCGAGAAAGGACAAGTTTGTTAATTTTTTCTGATCCACCCCCCCACTTCCCCCCTATTAACGATTTTCTATAACTCCCGTAATTCTTGGAATTTTGAACTAACATTTGGTAGTCATTAAGTTAGTGATTATATATCCGTATACCAAGTTTCATTATGATAGAATGATTGGAAAAAAAGTTATAGCCATATAACCAGGCCCAATGCACACATACATACATATGTACAAGTACACAAACACGCATAAGGCACGATTCTGATGTAAATGTAAATGTATGTATGCATGCATGGAATATTTTATATTTAATTTAGTTAATTAATTAAATTAATTTAATTTCTTTTTTGTGGGGTGGTACAGGGTATTTAAGAGTTGAGCCTGCTCGACTTTAGCATTCCTTTCTTGTTTGTGCCTCTCTTCTGGAATATATTTTAAGAGCTGCCTACATATGGAGCTGTAGCTATGTCGTGGGTCTACGATAATCAAATATTTAAGTCTTTTTATACCCTGTACCCGTAGGGTAAAAAGGGTACAAAGTATATACATATACATATACTTAATCAGCATGACGAAACAAATCGATCTACACATGTCCGTCCGTCTGCCCATCTGGATGAACGCAAGGATTTCTAAAACAATAAAAGCTGGCATAACCAAAGCTGGTATCCAGATTCTCCTAGGTTCGAGAAAGGAAGTTTCTTCTTTTTTTTTTTTTAATTTTGTTATAATGGTAATTGAAATACATACATATAATATGGTTGGTGCTTTAGTTGATTTTTCTTTGTGCCCTATAATGAGTAGGTGTTGGCCGCTAACCGGGGTGGTTATATGTATGTAAGTATGTAAATAAACTGCAGGCTGAATTTGCCAATATACCGCTCGTTGCATGCACTCTGGTATGAAAATATTTTTGGAATATAAGTAAAATTTAATAAATAGACATCTCAATTAGAATAAATCTTTGTTTTGAGCTTTGTTGCAACCCTGTTAATTTGGCACGCTCATTAACTCAGCTGATCGGTGAAAGCCCTGGCATTTGCAAATCGGTGGAAACTTTTTGCTAACTTTCGCTTATTATAAAAATTATTCCATTTGAGTAGAAATAAAAATATAACTCTGGAAAATAAAGATCAAGGTATGTAGAATAAATTTCTAAGCCATATTTATATGTGTGTTCGTGTTGTCCAGTGTATTGTGTGGGTCTATTTAGCAGGAATGTATAACAAAAGTAATTGTGTTTTGGGAGTATTACTATCGCAGTGCACACCTGAGCAAGCAGCTAACAATGTCAACGTCTTAACAAAAGTACGCAGATTGATAATTAATAAGTCTCCTTTGCCTGTTTTCGAAAATATCGCTTTCATTGCAGTAAAACTCGTGTTTGGAAACGTAGAAATGTTGACTTCGGAGCAGCCACAAAGACTCATAAAACACATTTAAGCAGTACAAGCAGTAAACGCTATAGAAATTCAAAAAAAAAAAACACGAATTGTTTTGCTTATGGGGAGAATATGGATATTTATATTGGGGGCCTCGGTGGCGTAGTGGATAGTGCACGCGCACACAACAAGAGCTCGTGGGTTCGAGCCCCAATCATGGCGAGAGCATGACCCGAAAAAACTCTCTCGAAAAACTCTCCTAAAGGCGCATATACTTCAACGTCGTGGTCATTTAACCACAAAAAAAAAAACATCCATGCTATCTGGACAACACCACAGTAACTCCCCCAAGATGCCTCTCCCCGGCAGCGACAGGTGGCAGCCCCAGCACTGGCAATAGACTGCAGGAATTAGATGGAAGTTCTTGTAGAAGCCCTAAGCCCCCAAGTGGAGTAAAAATATTTGTCCTATTTTATAGCTAAGTACCAAAAAGGTATACAATTATACCCAACCGTCTCTATATGTATGAGAGCTAGAATAAAGCTCCTAAGCATATAAATTCTTAGGTTAGATCAAGTTTTATTAGCAATTACCGAACAATCGTGTTTCTATATGTCTGTTGTTCAATTCAACTAGTTTCATAGTATGTTATCTTATTATACCCTGTACCCAAAGGGTGAAAGGGTACACCAGTTTTGTGCGAATATATGTAACACAGAAAAGAAGGCATGGAAGACTCCACAAAGTATATATAATCTCGATCAGAGTGACATGCCGAAATCCATATCCGCCCGTCTGTCCATTTGTATGAACGAAAGGATCTCAGAAGATACAAGAGCTAGAATTACGAAATTGGGTATCCAGATTCCCCTAAGCCGTAGGCAAATAAAATTTTTTAATTTTTTCTGATGCACCCCTCCACTCTTCCGCTAATCACGATTTTCAATAACTCCCGTACTTCTTGGAATTTCGTAATTTGGTAATTACATCCCGTTGATGACTATGTTTCCGTATGCCATTATTAATTAACTAAATTAAATATAAAATATTCGGCACATGCATCAACAGCATCCAATTACATTAGAATCGTATCTATGCGTGTTTATATGCTTCTACTAGCAGGTATTGCCCGTCTTTACCCGGCTAAATATAATGTTTCAAATTGTATTTATTTTGTGCGTGCATGACCTACCCATATGATTTCACCTTATTAGTTACCAGTACGAAGCCATTTAAGGTATTTACATCAACATTTTCTGTTCTTGACAAAAAATTGTTCAGTAGTCCGTTACATTTTTTTCTTGCCAAAATATTTCGTTAAACGTGCACACACATGACCACTATAGCTAATATTTTTAAGCTCGTTTTCTCCCCTTTGGATCTCGAGTTTTCCAAAAGCCTTTCTTCTGCTCCTACACTATGATGGATACTATGAAAGAATACTTGAGTCCAAATTTCAGCTTCCCAGCTTTGCGTCGATCACCAATCAGTCAGGATAAACTGTTTGATATGCATAGAGATAGCATAACGTTTTAAGATAGACTATGTGCAAAAAGGGGGAGTATATCCTAATTTTAAATTCACATTTGCGTCTTTTCGTGCCAATGCGATCACGCACGAACTCGAAACACAGCACTCGTGTCAATGCCGTGCAGCGATGGGCCACGATCAAAAAGCACTGACAATGCCCATCTCCATTTGCTAGAGTAAAACTTTCAATAGTTGAATCCACTGATACTATCGATACATCTTTTAATTTATTGCGATCAATTAGAACAAATCATATACATAGTATGTACATACATACATACATATGTACGTATGCACATCTGCCCGCAATGCGAAGAAGAATATGCGTAGCTCCGTTATTCGGTTTCTGCTTTACTATCGTTTACTCAGTCGATGCCTAGCGACGGTAACTGTAAAATATTGGCATTTTGCCTTTGCAATGAGTTGCATTTGCCGTTGTTGCTTGTCGTTTTAAAAATTTCATTTATTATTACCAATTTAATACAATTAAACAACAGTGTTTGATGGTCCACTGTATATATACAAACATATACATACACTAGCAGGTCTTGTCCGACTTTGCTGGCTCAGTATTTATGCTTCCAATTATACGTTAATTTACTATAAGTCGCCATTTCTGTTTTCCACTTAAGTCGGCTTTTTTTGGTTCAATCCAGACTGGACTGCTCCAAGGGGAAAAACTGGAACGAATTATGCCTGGTTTTAATAAACTGTCTATTTGTCTTTTTACATCCTCCTTGTGAATATAAGGGTATCTATAAGACTTGGTGTAGATAGGGGCATAATCTGAGGTTTTGATTTTATGTTTCATTGAATTTGTGAAGGAGAGGTTTTTTATGTTTCTGGTAGAAAATAGAACTGTATTTTTTGCATAGTTTAATTAATTAGTTTAATTATCCGTCGCGGATCTTCAGTATTGATTCGGCCAGAAATGCCGAGCTTATGCTGTGCAACGTTATTATCTAAGCAAATATGGTGTATTTCAAAA